AAAAAAAGTATTTTCATAATTTGTATTTGTTTTTTATGACTTTTTCAAAACAATTTTAACTATAAACTCATATTGACAGTTATTAAAAAGGTTTTTTAAACCAATTAATGAAAGATGTTTTTGGTAGCAGAGAGCGTTCGCGTATATCAGTCAATGCAAATCATAAAGTGCGATTAGTAATATTATTTAATAATAAATGTTAGAATTGCGTGTCAAGGTTGGCAAGTCAAATTTAAAACAACAAAACTTGGTTTTCATTTTATTTGGTTACAAATTACCTTCGATAGATTTTCTTAATCGACAATAATCTATTACCTATTTGATAAATTTGTTTTGTTTAAACTGATCAGAATAACATAACTAATATTCCCGGTTTTCGTTTTGGCTGTAATATATGAAACTTGAATTTTTGGATATCTACCAAATGATCAGCTTGTATGAAACGTGTCCACTTGTCCGTACTATCATGTTTGTTTACTTATTTGATACATTGTGAACGTATAGTTCATTATTAATACGTGCTTAGTGTAGTAATGGCATATGATATTTATACTCGAGGAGCAAGCATCCCACAATGCAACCCATATCCCAAAATGTACACAAACTCTTAAATTTTAAAAATAAATCACACCCAGGTAGGTAGAATAGATTTGCCATCAGTTTTGTCGATTTTTGGTACATCTCTTTAATAAATCGTTTTTGTAAGCTTATACAGGTGTAATGAATAAAATCATTATCTCTATTTCATGATCAGACTGTTATACTAATCTTAACAGTAAAAGCTAAATTACTTAGATTTTCAAAAAAAGAGTATTAAAACTACATGGTCTAAAGTCTTAAATTTATAATTCATTTATAAAATTGAACCAATTTTTAAGTTTATATTACAGCGATGTTTAAACGAATTTATTGGTTTTATATTTCTAAACATATAACTTATAAAAAATGTTTTTTAATATAATTTATTTAATTTTATAAATTAAGTTTATTTTCAGCTGTGAATATAAAAAAAAAACAACTGGATGATTATATCGGCCTTAGCATTTTTTTAAAACTTTTATTTAACAAAATGTGCAATCTATCAAATCCATTTTGACATGCTTTCACAGTAAGTGTAACGCACCCGATGATTTGTTAACATTTTTATATAATCAGGCGTAAAGCTTATGTAAAAAATTGTCGCGACCTACACACCTGGAAGCGTAATGTAGATTTTTTTTATAAAACTTTTCTTCGATAATGTTTATACCTTTTACGTCAAAAAAAGAAAAAAACGCGGCTAGACCCTATTTTTTATATATTTTTTACTGCATAGCTGATATGATCCGGTCTGAATGCAAATTATTACACTTGTTATCTCGTTCTCATTTGGACCATAAATTAGTCTCTTATGTCGCAGCGATGGTAAAAATTAGACATAAATATACATTTTTAAACTGTATACAAGTTTTTATAGAAGTACATTCAAACAAATACGTGATGTAAATTGGAGAGAATATTATCATTATTGCAGAGATAACGGTTTCGGTTGGTTTCATTATGTATGCTAAACATCATAAAGATGTACATATCTGATATTGTGCGTATTCATAAATTGCTGAACGATAAAATTATGTTACCTATTTTTTTTTACAATATTAATTTTCTAAATATGACACTGGCACAAGTTTTCAATATTCATTAATTTACTTATTAGGAATTTTATAATAGTTTATGGTAATTTGGGTGGGTAAATGTTCTAATAATCTGCTCCAGCATTCTGAAAAATATATGTGTATCTAAATTATTATATTTAAAAAACTATAAAGAAATAGTATGTACTACTATGGAAAAAAATTATGTTTTGGGTAAAATAAACAAACACATGCTTACTTTACTTTTTAATAACATCTACATCTCTTCTCATCTAAAATAAGCAGAGCTAGTACAAGTATTATATTTATTATTTTAATAATCTTATAATGTATTATTATATATTTCCCAACTAATATGAATGTATTGATGGAAATTAATTAAAAATGTAATCTCAAAGGAAATATACATTGTTCAGCATAAATTTTTACATACGACTGAGTGAGATAAAGCGGCAGTATAAGAACGCACAATCAACGGTTCCAATCTCGGCCACTGAAGATTTGTTCCTTCAGGCGGGCGCGACTGTCTAGGGTAAGAAATGGCCACCTGTCTTTCTTGCGGATTCCAAAGTTGTTTAGTAAGCGTTAGGTCGGTAGCCAGCTATAAAAAAACTCAAACTACCAAATGTGTAAGCCGTCTGAGCCCCAGTTTGTAAGAAAACATAGCCATGAAAAACAAATATTTGCATATACCTGGTAACCAATAATTAAGGTTTACATTAAAACGGCCTCTAGGCCATAGCCCATAGGATTAAACGACTAAAATAAATAGCAATAAAAAAATTGTGTAATTAACCATTTTGAATTGAGTACGCAACATAATGACTATGACTGATTTTGATCATGATGACAGAATGTAGAACATCTTGATAACCAAATAGTTTCTGGTTTCAAATATTATGGCGTATTTACCATGTTTGGAATTTTTAAACAGTAAATAAACATTATACATATATAATCGATATTATTTATGGAATTGTGTTTTGAATAAATTTCATCGATGTTCTAAAAAACAATTTTAGATTTAAAATATTTAACTAAGATCTTAAACAGAACTTTTGAAATCTGTCCACACATTCTAAAAAAAGGGTTCAAAGTTTACGATTAATAACTAATTACTATAGTAGACAGCTGTATAAAAAATTCTCTGCAGTAATTAACCTGATTACTCTCTTATTAGTTAAAGCTTTGAGCCATGACATATGCCGCCATTACAATTTATACCAGTATGTATATGTATGGCTGTATAATAACGTTAATTTTTTTGAAATGCAAGTAGACTAGGTTTACTTAGATTTACTATAGTTATGTATGGACATAATATATTATTGATTAAACTAACTAAATAACAAAATATTTAGTTAAAACTGTACATTTAATTAGACTAACTATTTATTTAGTTATTTCAAAAATAATTTATATTGTGTCCTTATTTTAACTATATTATATACTTTTTTTCGTGTAGTCGTTAGTTGTAGATTAAGTAATAACAGTCACTTCGTGAGTTATTGATATTGTAGAAGTCTTATAGTCTATAGTCTTATATTAGACACTTTATAAGAGTATTTTTTTTTATACTATTATTATCATTAGGTATGTAAATTTGTACGTTCAGATGTTTTTTTTTTTTGTAATGTATACAATTTATAAATTATCTGAAAAGAATATTAAGGGATTTAATCCATTTAATTTATATCTTAACACGTTTTTGTCTGTACATAGAATCAAATAATTTTATTATTTCTTTTTGGTGAATAGGTGTATCTGATATTAAGTATTACTATAAATTGCAAATATTCTTCTACGCGTTAATCGGAAATGAAATTCTGAATATTAGAGTCCGTCTTTCTCTACGAGATATCGGCTTGTGCCTTGTGGAATTTACTACTTGGTTTGCAGTTGAATGGAATTTGAAAAATGACCTAGATTAAAAGGTACCTATATGTATACTCAATATAGATAACAGTTTAATTTAACGGGAACGATTTAATAGATGAAAGTCTTATGAACGTCAATCATGATTTGAACTATGAACTTGATACTAAAATCTATCAAGCGGCTTCTTGCTTAGCGTATTACTATTGTAAATATACTAAATAGTTATTTAAAGCACATCGATTTCACCGTAGAAGTATTAAAATAATTGTATATAGTTTATATAATAAATTTAACATAGCTTATTAGCTGTGCCTGTTTTTACATGCATTTGCATTATTTAACGAATTGAAAACTTTTCGAGGATTATATAGAGATTATAATGTATTATGTAATACATTATAGATTATACATACTAACCAATATGTATTAATAGTTTCAAAGTTTTCTATTAACAAGTATATATAGTTCATATAGTTATTTCATTGTTGTTTATAATTAATTTCCTACCAGTCACGCTTATAATATGAAACTGTTAATTCAATCCGTTTTTATTTTTTATGAAGCTAAACCTAAGTATAAAGCTAAGCTTAAATTAATCCTTATTATACCTATAGAGTTTTTTTTTAAATAGTGGTATTGGATTTTTTTAAAGGTTTATAATTTCAATCGAGTTTACGAGGTAATAAAGTTATCTTACTTCTACTTTTTTATTACATTTTTTAATTTAATCTCATTATGCGGAAAAAATTGTTCAAGATCGTATTTCAATAATTATTACAAGACGAATCATCGGAATAAATTAGTTTTATTACTGTGTTGTACATTTTGGTTTGCATATTATATAATTTACACTCAGATACCGTCTACCGATTTGTTTTTATTATCATTTCCGCAATAGCGATAAGATCGCCGTTGCAGTCGCGAAGAATATAATTTAATGGAGCAAGTGCAACGGCGACTTTGAAGTTCAACGACACAACGGATTTGTGTAATGTGGTGCGTCTCGGGTCATAAACCAAAAACAAAAAACAAATCTTATTACACATAACTCCCTCTGTCTTGATGTCTTGTCGTCGAGTCGCTGTTGTGTAAAATAATAATAATAATAATAACAATATACTTTAATATAAATGCCAATGACAGTGTTGTATAATACGATTCTTCTCGACTTTGATTAGAAAAACGACTTTTGCAGAAAGTTATCGTGTCCCCCCGTTGTCCTGTGTGTTTAAAAATTATTTTTACAAAAACAATGTAGCATTACAGAGTTAGAGTAGTTCTTACCACTCTCGTGGTGGCTCTTAACAAACCGAGATCAGAGGGGAAAAAAATCACCGCGGCAGCCGTCGGTGGATTTCCTTGAAAGTTGCCGTACGCAATCATCGCCAAACGTCGACCGTAGCCGACAGCGCACGACCGCTTCCGGCGGCAATTGGCTTCAATAACGGGATAACCGTAAAAAACCGTTCCTCAGTGAATGGTACGCCGCATGCCCTTCGCTATGGTTTGCCTGAGCGTAGTGTACACTCCGCGGCGGTGAAAGTTTTTCGAAACTATAATACCGAATATTGTTTGCTATTTTTTTTTATGCATACAATCTGACCAATGCAAATATTGTTTTGATTCGGTTAAACGTGTTTTTCCAAAATATAGTTACCGTGCGATTTTTTTTAAAGTCGCTCTTTTCCACCGAAGTGTAACAAAATTTAAATACACATTTTTATTTACATAGATAAACCCACTTCGAATTCGCACACGGCTGTTGTAGGCTATTATTTAGTATTATTTTGTGTTTGACGTTTTTGTGTGATTTAAAAAAACGCGTATTTCGGCTTCGTTCGTTTGTTTCCCTACGTTTGTTTGTGTATATCTAATTATTCTGCGTCGAGGGATCAGGGAGTATCACGTTGGAATCATATAGTAAGTTGACTGAGACAAAAACGTTTTGTTTAGTTTTTTGATTTTATATTGAAAAGGGAATAAAATACTTGTGTGGCGTGTTTGTGTGCGAGACATACCAATTTCTAGTTTTCTTATTATTATTTTGTGTTTGCCGGTGTGAATCTTAAAACAGCACACCATAATGCAATAGCTAGACGATAGTTAGTAACTCATTACAGTGTATTTAAATGAAAGCGGCTATAGCCGATTATACCACCCTTTAATAGAATTGAAAAATATCTAGGCGGGCAAGCTGTTGCGTGACTCTCAGTCGGAAAAAACCCACAGCCGTCATTTATTATTACATTAGTTGAACGATTAAATAAAAAGTGAATAATTTAAATTGCCAATTAATCCGTTGTTTGATATGTTTTCCATCACATTTCAAAAAGTTGATAAAACGCAAACATTGTCATCGTATGATGGCATTTGATAAATTAGTTTAACGTAATTTCCTAAAGGCCTTTTAAAAAATGCATACATTTTTTTCATTAAACATAGTGTGGTTTTAACCCTTATTTTATGAATTTGTTTACATGCACTTTTTATAAAGTGCAATGCCCATGAGTTTTCATTTTACATGTTATAGTGCTATAGTGTTATAATGTTATTGTATATTTGTATATACGTCATCAGCTCATGTCTTTTTGTTAGCCGTTAATTATAATGTTTCTTCTTTAACAATAGTCATGACATGTTTATAATGATCTATAATCTATCTTGTTCTCTGTTAACGCACATGTGCTAGTGTTCATAAATAAGACATCTACGGATTATGATGTTGCAAAGGGTTTTTGTCATCTATAGTTGGATGATTTTATTGTCCAATAAAACAGTAAAAGCTCAAAAGCAATGAAAAATGTTTATGCGCATAAAATTGTATAGGCATATTTATAACAAATACAAATAGTAAATATTTACTTAAAACGTTTTTTATATTCGTGGTTCACGTCGTGTGGTATCTACTTACTCGTAACTCATAGATAGAAACTTTTATATACAAACCGTTACTATTAAGTAAATTAGGCAACAATATTAGTATACATATTTATATACTTTTTTAATAACCTAATTAAACTCTAAATAAAAACTGCACAAATTAATTGTATAATATGCTAATAATCTTACACCGACAATTAAATAATAACCTAACATCATTGTTGTACCTCTTGTTTCACAAATAAATGCAATACTTGTGTTAAACCTTGACAGTGTATGTTGAAATCAGCTATAACTATTAAAGAATTGTTTAGTTCTCATTAAAATTAACTATAAGACTACCGCCTTAGTTTTATTAAAATAATTTATTAGAAACCACTAAATATTAAATAATTGGTCAACTCTAATAAATTAATAAAATACAAAGTCTGTTAGAGTTGTTTTTATTGCAAAATGTTAATTTTAACATTTTTATGATATTCTTACACATAGTTGAATATACTTGTTATTTAAACAATAACAAATAGCTCAACCAATTTTGTTTATTTTTACCTCTGTTATTTTCGTTTTTTGTATTCATTAAAAATAATGCATAATATAATGTAAGGCTGTAGGTATTCAATGAAAATTATATTTTTTGTTTGTATACTCGTACTATTTGTATAAGTTCAAATAAATTCATTACAAATGTTTAGTTGTTTATTTTCTGGAAGGTTCGCGTGGGCAAAATTAGAATTTTGTGGCTGTGATTGAAGGACGTCTTGATGGGTTATTAATGAATTTATTTTTTGCGTAATTTATACTTGGGAGAATACCGGATAACTGAACAATATAACCTCAAAAACGTGATAATAATTAAATCTTTATTTTCTCTTATGCCATCAACGAAGGCCGATGATCGAACAATAGCCAGACCTAACGTATTGACCCACTGACAGAGCGATTACCGTCAAATAACCACCCACCACTGATTACTGCAACCTTTGGCCCCACTTGTAGAGTACGTGGACCAGATGAAACACTAAACGTTGAATAAACAAAATATAATATAATAGCGTTGACGAAAACACTTTGGCGGACCGTTTCGAATTATTTATGAGCTCAAAACGGGTTTTAAAAAAATACGTCCATGTGCGGCTGTATGTTTTTATTTATTAAAGCACAATGTTTAAAATAACGATAATGATACACATTCAAATGATATAGTAGTCGATTAAAATAACTTAAGTATGTGTATATCCATAGGTATATGTATATCTATCGAAATTCGAGCTGCTATGTATGCGCGACTTCAGTTTATAGGAGCTGGTTGTTCCGTTGTGTGCAAATCGACTTTCACCTATATCTTTTTTTTTTTTGTCAATGGCGATAATGACGCAATGTTTACACGACGGTATTAAAACACGAGATATTAGATCTACGCGTTTCTACCGATTGTGCGTGTCGCTGCACTTAAAACCATATTGACCCCGTATAAAACCCACAAAATTTAATATCCATCCGCAATGGTACACCGGGAGGGCTGAGGCAGTCTTCGTCGAGTCCTTTAATGATTATGTCGTGCTACCGCAACGACATCCACTGATGCTTCAAAAACCGGATTTTCGTACTTTGTTATACTTACACGTCGACTATACTTTAATATTTATTTCGCATTTAGACTACTTGCACAGGTGACATGAACCACGCAATCGTTGGGTATTTATAACTATATAGGCTATATAATAAAATAGGTTTATGTAAATAGGTAATATAACATACTGTACACAAACTTATTTAACTAATTAAAATAAAGATTATAATGAGTTAACATTTAATATGTGTAAAACCGGGATACTCGACCGTTGGATATTGCCCAAGCATTGAAGTTTTGCAACGCGTTTCCGCTTTATTATAATTACATTGCATGATCATTTTATCGTAATAGTCTAAGCACATATTATTATATATTTGGTACGTTACCGTTTCTCACGGACGCTGTGTAGCACTTGGATTTTGATAATTAACTTATCTTTTAAAACGAGCAATAATTCTTTCTAAATTCTTATAGTGTTATATTTTTCTTTGCACAGGGGACGTCAATGAGCTGCTGAAATGGCCTGCGCGACCACTATGAATCCGTATTTCATGGAAGTCTGGAAGTGTCGGCTGAGGTTGAAAAAGTTGGCCGAGACCGCTTCGTCCACGTTGACCTGAGGTCGTACTTAGCCTCTGCCGTCAACCGCACCACTTTATCGTATAAAAGACAATGGTGTCGTTCGCTAAGCTGTTAGTGGTCGCGTTTTCTTTGACGGCGGTATGGTCGACCACCGCTTCGGCTGTGGTAAACTTTATGCAAACCTGTGAATCGCCCGTCCGATGCCGTTGCGATAGCCGCGAACCCACCGAGGTGTCCTGCAGGAATTCAGGATTGATCGTGGTTCCAGATGACGTGCCTGCCAATATCACTAAACTGTAAGTACAACATTTGATACCGAAAAAATGTATATAATGTAGTTATTAAAATAAAATGTTGTAGTTTATATCCTAGAGTAAAATTTTCAGTTTTCAAATTTTAACCTAATGCACCAATTGTCTGAAATGGCGACGTTCGCGAGGTTACCAAAATTATGGTGGTCCAAAAGTTATGAGCAGTTGCTCTACCTCAATAATTTAGTACGCGTGTATACTTGATTGATATTTATTGCTAAAAAAACACCAAACTTCTATTTAATAATGGGTGTTGATAACATTTATTATGAAGATTAGCTAACAAGGATTTATTTATCGTCAAACCTTATCATGGATATAATATTACACGTTTCCCTTATTTTTTTTACCATCATTCATATTTCATAAAATATAATGATTTGACCGGTGACGTCAACGGCTGATTTACACGTCATATATCATAATTTAACGTATAACGCTATATATAAATGCGTGTAAAAATATTTTGCAAAATTGTATTACTATGCATATTATTATTATTGATGATATGATTTATGATGATCATGATGAGTGCCTGAGATTGACGGGAGTTTGCACGGTTAGATAAGAACGTACTTAAAATCGTATTTTAAAGCTGGATAAACGGTTTAAATATTGCCAGCGTGTGTTAGTTGTAAACAATGCATACATTATACGTGTATAATAATATGGTGTTATAACTATTATTACAAAGACCTTCGCTCCCGACTACCGTTGACCTATAAAAACAAAAAATTCTCTTTAATATTCAATAACGTGGTAATGACATAATTAGAGCACATGACAACCGCGCGTTTCCGTATCGCTTGACTTGCACACAGATGATTCACACAGCTTTCAAAACTCAAAAGCAACTATGATGAAATATTGTGTAAAAAATCAGTATCAGAAGGTACCAGTTCAATGACTTTACGTCGATCATAAGCTGTTGAAAAGTGATAATATAGTACAATAACATTTAGGCGTGGAAGCAGTTTTCGTGGGAATGGCCTCAACGAAAGTGTCGAAGAGCAAAACCGAATAATTTATTAATTAGTCCAACTTTTTTTATTGATTTCTGAGCGTAATGAAAGTGTAAAAATAAACAATATAGGTTGGAAAGCTATAAGAATGTACAAGTTATCTTCGAACCAACAACTCTCGGTATATAATATAATCCAAAGTTAAACTTTTGTTAAGTATCAATGCTCAAGACCTGCGAATTCCTGGCCCCGGGGCAACGAATATTTACACATACACTTTAATTACATTATAAAGTCAGTTTGTACTTGCTTATGCCTTAGTGCATTCCGGTAGAATCCCTTTTGACTAAGTGACGTGAACGTACTATCCTGGTTATTGCAGTATCGTCGACCATTGACGTACATTTTGTACTCCAAATTTAATTTCGCTGGAACGTTGACTATTGGGATTCATGAAGGCACGAAGACTTGCCAATGGTAATGCCGTACGTGCTATGTCAATTGCCGCTAAAGACCTTATACAACACCTAACGAGCGGAGAAAACTCAATAATAATCTCTCTGATAGTTTTCTTAAATTTCATACAAATTCGTATAGACAATGGGCTCGTTGTTTATACTACATCATATTCCCCCTCATACGTACTTGGTGTTTTCCTAAATTCTTCTTGATTAGCCATAATAATTCTGCAGTAGTTGCTATCGAACAATTATTATTGCTACTTAGCGCTTAAACTTTTCGCACATCATAATCAGCAAACCTCTTGCGACCTTGCAGCTGGCATCGCTTTCAGTTCATTATGGGAATATTAATTCCTGAGGATACCCAATACTCGCAGTACCATCAACCGGTCCATTGTGCAAACAGGTGTAAAAAGAAAAAATATATTCGAGACAGTTTTCATTACAATGTCTAGTATTATGACGTGATGAACGATACTCCCGTTCTTTTGGCAACTGTACAATGGTTCGGTGAGTGGACAACCGAATTTCCTGGCATGGAATACAGTATTTTTCTAGAGTTCCGATGGAAAAAATCAAAACGCGAATCGGACGTGTTTCAATTTCGGATAGACTTTCGATTTTTTTTTACTCCTCCCACTTCTTCTCTCTCACATAAGAAAAATTGTATTCCTAGCGCCTGATCGGAATTCTTAATTCGTTGTTAGCTGGGCCAAAAAACGTCGACGAGCGTGATTTTAATTTTGTGAGGATTTAAAATATAATTATTCAAAAAATAATTTATTGTTTTAAAAGTAGATCGTTTAAAAGTTATGAGGGCGGGTTTGGCTATTAAAATCTACTTTTCTTTCAACGGCAACACCGGCGGACGAGATCAATCCTCTTCACTCGAGATTATTATTCCCACGGTAGACTTTTAATATTTGCACTGCTCGTTTCATTTATCAAAATCACTTGCCAACGTTCAAAGACAGCGACGCATCTGTCATCTTTACTGTTTGTCGACGACAAACATATTTTGATCATTTACACAATGTCTTGCACCTGTGTAGTAGTAGCTGCTTTATATCAACCGGTCGTTGACGCACGAACGTCGTTTAAGATGGAGCAAAACGAATATTTAATTAAATTGTTTATTTGTTGCTTTCAAACAACCTAAGCGGAAGTACACGCAGTTAGTATAACTTATCATGCGGTGTGAGTAAATATTACCAGGGGAAATCGGATTTTCTACCTAAATTTGTACAATTTATATTTTTATTTCTTAAATAGTATTAGGAAAATCTGATATGTATTTTGTTTTTAGGCATGTACCCCTCAATTAGGGGTTAATGCTGTACTGGCATCAGCTGTTTATTGTGCAAACCGGAAGTAATTTTCAATGGTCAGAAATTATGAATTTTTTTTATTTTTCTTAGCCACCGTTCATTCTTTATCCACTAGCAACTAACACATTTTTTCTATTTGACTTCACGGCCGAAATGTCGGAATTATTTTAAGTGAATTTCAAATAAAGTGTACCCTTCTGACGTCAATTTTTTTGTCAACTGAAAATAAATATCAAACAATGCGGCCAAATCGCTTAGGCACCAAGCGGGGCAGTTATTGTATATTCAACGTGTTCTTCTTTTAAATAGTAGGTAGGTATATCGGTACTCAAAAAGATTAAAAAATAAATACCTATATACTCATAGTATAATACACCCAAACGGCATCGACTTTTTCTTTCAGTCAGATGTTTGTATATTAGAACAATATTACGTAACCGAGTAAGTTTTTTTTGCATGAGACAATTTGCATGCTCCTATTTTCTGAGTAGCTAAGTGTGTAAAGTAGTCATACTATTTGAGGTAAATGCAATTCGTCAATCGACGAGTATTTTCGGAATGACCTTTAACCTCTAGGTATAAAGGATTTTTTTTTTTTGCCTGGCATTAGACAAATTCTTAATTCCGTTCGAATAATGCAAATCAAGACTAACAAATAAAACTGAATTACGATATTTATGTTTGAAACTTGTAGGCGCGTTAGGGACTATTAAATCAAACGTTGGTTGCACTAACAAATGTTGATTCTATAATAGGTTTTTTTGACATGGATAAATTTTGTCATAATTAATAAGTATCATTTTTTTTTTAATACAAACAGTATCAATTATGAAGCAGCTTATGGTGTTTCATATTAAAAAGAAATCTGACGTATTCTTTTTAACGATCAAAGTTGTACCATTTTTTTTTTTTTTTTATAAAAGTTTGACACGACGCACCGATAGTTTTCGTTACGGCAAATCGGTTTAATGTTCGGCCTTGTTTGTCGGTCTCCTCTGCATAACTCGTTGTCACAACATCAAAATGAGTCAGTGACCTAAATTACACGCTGAGGTGACTCCCCGTTGTAAATACATTATACATGTATCAAATAAATATTATAATGTCATTATTGAATTAATAACGCGGTAATAAACTATGTAGTATGGTAGACGACACCGCCGTTTTTTTAACGAGCTTGGTGGTTATTTAATTTTTTTGTTTTATTAGGAACCAACGTATCGATCCACCGACCTTTCGATTTAATTAGCAATTAAAGTCATCGTGAGGGCGCGAAATGTGTATGCGGTGCTGGCGTTTAAAATTATTCTAAAACCCTTATTCTAAACAATAAAATTATATATCACACGCTCGAGGATTTCGGAATGTTGTAGAAAGGATATAACCCTATTGTGTTAGTGTGTGTACCGTGTAAGAAGGTGCGGGGGTCCCTTATATTATTATAGTCGACCGCATGCATAAAAAGCTTAAACCCGTGAAACTTCCCCAAATATTGTATAATATAAATATTTATGCTTTTACGGACATATAGTAGTTTTATATACCACATTACACTTATATTTATTCGCCGTTTTACTCAAATGTTGCTACCACATGCATTATTGTTACTTATTACTGCAGTTATCTGAGGTACTAAATTTCAGATCTTAGATCAATATATATTTTTTTGTGTGTAGTTACATCTCGGTTGGCTTTCTGTGTGTAAACGTCACACATGGCGTTACATGACAAGTCGTATCTACTTTAACGAAGAAACTATTATTATTATTATATATATTGTCCACGATTATGTCATATAATATATTAAAATGATTTATTGTCCGCTATATTACCTACAGGCTACATCTATCCTACAGGGCTTTGAGTTCACAAAAATTTAAATAATCACTATGCTATAGTCGTAGCGAGACCACTTTTATTTGGTATGGTTATTTTATAACACAAAATCGTTTAATAGTCGCAGCCAGTATAATGATGTTAATATGTCGTATAGTTGAGTTTAAGTGGTTTCCACCAATATTGTTTGCTAAGTCAACGAAGTGCCGATGATCACACATAAAATCGCTCGTCTACAAACCATAAAGTCTATGTAGGCGCACTGAACCTATAAATTTACAAACCGAGCACTGTGGTCTGTGTCATATAACTTCATCCGTGTAATTCCATGGGCTCCTGGCACGAGACGGCAATAAATCATACCTAGTCTGTTGTACTCTTACAATAGGCCGAGACAA